CCTGCTGACAGCTGCAGAGCCAAAATCACAAAAGGAGAATCGCCTGCTATCAGGTGGAGAGAGAAACAGCCAGGTGAGGGCACTAACCTGTGAACCCTGGCATTTGGAGATAAAGTCCAGGCAAAGACCGGGGAAGAGACATTTGAGGAGCACCAAGGAACAGAAATCTTGTCAAGGTCAAGCAGATAGAGTTCCAAGAAATGTTCAACAGTGGGGAAAAGTCCAGGAAAATATAAAGACTAGAGAATGTCCCCTGATTTGTGTCTTTGGAAGCTGCTGACACAGTGAGAAAGGTTTCAGTGGAGCGGCAGGGCAGTCTCTGGGCTGCAGCATATTAAGGCGTAAATGTGGAGTAAGTGAAGATAGTACCTGTTAACAACATGCCTGAGAAGCTCGACTCAAAAGGAAGGAAAAGCAATAACTCAATAGGACAGCAGGGTGATGGACAAGGACATGGTTAGGATGGGGAGGACCTCAGGTGTTTATAACCTCTGGGGGAAGAAGTAAAACAAGGAAAGTTGAGGACACAGGAGACAGAGGTGACACTAGATGAATCAGTGTTTTAGGGGAAAGAAGACCTGGATCCCCATTAGCTTCGGACAGGACAGGACTGGACCTCATCTTCTGAGACCAGAGGGAAGACGGGGGCAGATAGAGATGAATGCATACACATCACTGCAGAAGTTAAAGCCATTATTATTTTACTTTGAATGAAACAGGAGAGGAGGTGCCTCCTGAGAGTGACGGGGAGAGATCACGAGGAAGTCGGGATGATTTGGAATAATTGTCCAGGAAATGAGAACAGCAACTGCCCAATGATGAGACACTGGTAGTCTCTACAGCTAGCTAGGTCGTCATGCCTGCCAGCGTGTGGACCTTGCAGAACAGGGTGAGTGACCATGGCTGGGGTTTTATTGGGCTTGGGGTGAGGATCTAGAAAGAAATGAGACTTAGACCCTGCTCAGGAAGCCCAATGTATTGTAAGGGTAAGAAGAAGTTGGGAGACCCTCACTGCCCTCGCACTCTCGTCCACAGAGCAGTGGAAGGAGGGCGAGGAGGAGAGACCAGGCACACAGCAGGGACTAACGTGAGCATGCCAGCCCCTGGACAGCCCAGGAACCATTTGTGGCCAGATGAGGTAAGAGAAACTCCTGAACAAAGTGTGACTGCCACCACCCAGCCCATAAACCCCCTCTCTGTGGCCACAAAGGTAATTTAGTGTCTTCGTCTCCAGAAGCACTTGCATTTATCAGTGGCATCAGAGCGATTCCTGGGCTGTAAATCATAACACTTTAGGTGTATTTCTCTTGAGTTGACATCCCCTTATAAATAATGTGGGGAATGCTTTTATTTTGTTGGCAGAAGACTGCTTTCTCCCTCTCTTGTTTTTAGAGCGACCTTCTTTCTCAGTCAAATGGGATATATCCAAGAGGCTCATTTACTGGGTCTTCCCACGCACCAGGTAATATGGGAGCAGGTATAGATAGGAGTCCTGTTCTCTACTATGATACAGTCTCCTAGCAGAAAGGACACTCATATCTATTAGAGTTAAAATGCAAATGCCCTTTGATCCAGAGAATCATTTACCCATGTTTATAAGGATGTGCGTTTTTCAAAGCTTGACAAATTAATAGCAAATATCTGGAAAGCACCTAAAATTGAAATAAGGACACTATAGTTAAATAAAGCATGGCAGCTTGTGCAGGAATTATAAAGAATGAGATGGACTTATGCCTACTGGTAAGGAAAGATCTCTAAGGTGTACTGTTGAGGGAAAGAAGTAAATTGTAAAAATTTATGAAAAGCATAACACATCATTATATAATTTATGTTTTTAAAAATCCCACAAATATGCTATATATTTGCTACAAGTACATGTATATGTTTATGATATATTCATATAGAAAGAGATATAGAAGGATATACACCAAACTGAAGATGATGAATCCTTCTGAGAAGGAAGCGTAAGACTGCAGTGGTGGCAAACAGGATTTTAGCCTTCTGATATATTTTAAGTTCTTTAAGAGAGGAAGTATTCATAGATTGCTTGTGCAATTAAAAAGAGCTAGAAGTCAAGACACCTGTACTCTGGGTCAGTTCATACTATAAATTTGGATAAGATATTTCCTCTGCAGACCTCAGGTTTTCCCATCTGTATACTGAGCAAGTTGGGCTGGACAATCCCAGTGGTCCTTTGCAACTCAGAATGTCTTGAGTCTTCCAGCTGTAAACATATTCAAAGGAAGGGGTTCAAAATCTTTAGGGCTCAATGCCACAGGATCTGGCACTCAGTAGACACTTTGTCTTGGCTGAACACTGAAGGTTGAATAACAATCCTTAGGCGGTTTTAGTATTAATAAACAGAGGTCAGATTTTTCCAGTAAACTTTACCAGGTGAGTGATCTACCTCCCGGATGAATGTCAGAGAGCTGTGGTAGGGTGGCAAATAAAATAGAAGCTTTGGAGGGATTCCAACCTAGGTTCAAATTCTGGCTCTTCTACTTACCTACTTTGTGCTACTGAGGGAACTACCAACCCTCTCTGCACCACGATCAGTGCTGAGCTGTGACAAACCACAGTTAATATTTCTGCTCCAGCTTTGATGCTGTGGTCAGTTATTCATTCATCAAACACTTATGGAGCACCAACTGTGAGCCAACCCTGGGGATGTGGCCATGAGGAAGACGGACAAGAAATCCCTTCTTACAGATGTGTAAGTATCTGCCTTGCCTCCTGCCCCCTCCCTGTTCTTGGTGCAAGAACTGTTCACTCCGAACAGCAGCTGAACATGCCCAAGGACGTGGAAGGGGAAAGGGAAAAGAGAAAGAGACTCTGGATGGGGCTCTCTGGGAGAGGCTGAAGACCGACCCACCTTGCCTGAGGGCCCGCTGCAGAAGCTGTAAGACCATCTATGCATGGATCAGTTGCTCCCCCTTCTCCGAGTCTCGGATTTCTCTTCCGTAACATGAAGATAGATGGTGAAGTCTACCTCCTGGGATTCCTCCGGGCATCGAATAGTTGCTAATGCTGATTCAAATGGCTAATGTTTTTAGCTCTTTCTAGGTGCCAGGCTCTGTGTAAAGAGTGGCTTGTGCATCACCACATTGCCCCTGACAACAATCATGATTTACTCAGGAGGAAACATGAACAGAGAAGTTAAGCAGCTTGCCCAAAATCTCACAGCTGCAGATATGCAAATCAAAAATTGGAATATTATTTTTTAATCTATGTCCGGGCCCATACATAGTAAGCATTTTGAAATGCTTATTGAAAGTTATATGTACTGCTTTGTCTTGTTGTTCCAAAAAGTTTACTTTAAAAACTATACGTTATATACGTTTTCCTATAAATTATGGTTTCTAATCCAGTGCTAGAGAATTCAGTGAATTTGGAAGCAGCCAGAACACTGATTAAAGATGAATCTCTGTATCGAATAACAATTCTAAAACTTTTCAATGGGCCATTACAACGTAAAAAGTGCCTACTTTTTGTTATTTGATAATCATCCATAATATCTTAAACATTTATAGCAAATGAAAAAAAAAAGAATTGGAATCTAGATCTGACTTCAGATCCTGCACCAAAACCATCATACCCTACCATGTCCCATTCAAACAGGTGCCAAACAGCTTAGATGAGGCTACGATTCATGGGTTAGGATCCTTATCATCCATCCTAACATGATTATAATTATGAAACTTGGTTATAATATTAATGAGTATTCTTCTCTGGCTGCCTCCAATTCTCCTGCTGCCACTGGCAGACAGGCTAAAGCAAAGGCATTTAGTTTTCAGAAGAGATAAAAGTCCTCATAGTTTGGGGTTCACAGAGGACACAATTCCCTTCTTCATACAGGCCTTTGTTTTTAATTAAGAGCAGTAATCAGATAATCTTGCTTTAATTAGCTCCCCAGAAGCACCCCATTCTTGGAGCCTTTCTTTGATATTTTCTGCTTAAGTCTTTCAGCCTAAGACCATCCTGCAGACATGCACCAGACATTTGCCATTTGCCAAATATGCCCAGAAGGTTAGCATAAACTCCCACTCCCTTCTTTTTTGTAAAGACAACCCCTGCGTCAAAGCAAACACGTCTTTGAGTCAGGAAGGGGTTTGTCTAGGTTTGCTCTGTGAATCTGTGATTTTTCCAGTCTTATCACATTGGTCCTTCTGTTCACAAAAGCTGTGTGCATTTCATCTTAATTATGCATCTCTTAATCATAATTTCTGACTTATGGCCATTAACTCCTAATTACAAGAGGGCCACCCTTGAAAAGGGAAACCAAATGAGCTCAGAGAAATGGAGCTGAAAAGCAAGAGGGAAGATGGATGATAGAAGTTGTGCAACTAAGGGTGAATCCAAAGGCCCATTTATTGAAGGTGGTTATTGTTGGCACTTCTGTAGATTTGTGACGCTTCCATATCAGGCCACACCTGAATTCATCCCTTTCTGTGGTAAGGAAATTATAAAATTAAAAATAAAGCTAAAATTCAAATAAAGCTAAAATCTCCAGATGATAAATCCTCTGGCCCAACTTCTTTATGATGATTCTCCATTAAAAAAAAACTTAAGTGAATATGTTTATTAAAAATTTTTTGAACCTGTAATTACCCATAAATGGAAAAAAGAGTATGACGTGCCTTAAGGAGAAGGCAACTATAACAACTCTTGCTATTTTTTTAAATGTTCACCCTGTGCTATTTTAAAATCTGGAAAACCAAGCTCTGGAGAGGACTGCATTAGGTCCTCATTGCTTCAACCATTTGGATCAGTAAATAAAATTATATTCCATGTTTTGCAGATGGGGAAGTAGAGGCTCAGAGAGGGTAAGGGATCTGCCTAAAGTCACAAAGCTAGGAAGTGGCAGAGTTATACCTCAGACTTTCAGGACCATGCTTGTTCTCGCCTATGCCAGAGACAATGAAAGACTTGAACAACAACTTTCAAAGTCTGAGATTCTTCAAGCTATTGGCCATCCAGAGGCAGCAGGGAGATACTCTTACCTGGGGCTGAGGATGCGGCTGCTGGTGACTGACTGTCGAGAAGGAGTCCTCATAGTATCCGTGGCCATGGACAGAGTACAGCTCAACCAGGACTGCAGGCTGCCCTCTGGCTGGGAGCTGAGGATGGATACGTTATCCCTAGAATAAGATTGCAGGACACCATCAGCATGATGACAACCACAGTAACAGCAATAATTAGATACTCGCCCATAGCATAAGCCAGGCATTGTGCTAAGTGATATACCTGCATAGCCTCATTCACCATCCCAGAGAGGTAGGAGCCAGTGCTGCCACAGTTACACAGATGGAATTACTGAGATTTGGAGAGGCCAATTTGGGTCTTGGCCAAGTTCACCCAGCTAGTCAATGATGAAATTGGGATGCAAACCCTGTTCCTTTTTATTCCAGTGCCCATGCTATTAATCATGGCCCTCTTCCTTGGGAAGATACACACTCCAATACAAATGTTGAGGTCTCTCCAATTTAGGAGTAAAGTTTGGCATTGATCTTGGTATGTTCAAGGAATATATCAAGTGTGAAGGTCTTAACTCCTTCCTTACCTTAGCTAGATCATCTTTATAAACAGGGACTCTACTTTTATGTCCCCTGATTCTGAAAGTGGCACAGACAGAGAGGGAGTCCTCATAGGTTCTCAATGAAACCACGTAAGTTGATATACTCACTCGACATTATGTATATGTGTGTGTATATGTATGTGTGTATATTTGTATATTAATATTTATATGTGTGCATGTGTGTGTATATATATTGTAATATATATAGTTTTTTTAATAGGATGCTCCTTGTATGCCAAGCACTAGGGAGCTGAACACATGAACTTAACATTGACCCTGTCCTCAAGACCCCATCTCTATAAATAACCATAAATTTTTTTTTAAATTATTAATATTTTATAGAGGGACAGAGGGTAGGTTTTACTAGAACCTGCCCTCTGTCTCTACAAAGCGTTCATAATGGTAGGTTCTAATAAAACCTACCCTCTATGCCTCTATAAAGCATTAATCATTTTTTTCTTTCAGAGAGGGAGCCTTGATTTGCTTCGTGGAGGCCCAAGGCAAGACATCAAGTAGCGAAAGTTGAGCTCCATCTTCTCTGAAGGTTAGCATTTGGCTATGCAGGGACAGAAGAATGGAATTTTGTGGTGGAAGGAATCATGTGCACATAGGTATGGAGGTCATAATGGTTGGGGCATAAACAATATGGAAACCAGAAATCACAGTTAGAGGGGAAAGTAAGGGTCTGAATGTGCAGAATACAAATGTCAGTGTAAAAAGTCTATTCTGGGGCAACAGGGAGCCATCGAAGGTGTTTGAGGACCGTGGCATGAGGAGGCACAGGCTTCTTTCTGTCTAAAAGAACTAGGGCAGTTCAATACTATGTCCCTAGTGCTATATGTTGTGACCATGAAGGCATTAGTCTCATGGGCATCACTGATAATTCTCTAAGCGGACATGGATGTTCCCTCTGCAAACTAGACAGAGACAGCCAGGGGCTCACCCTTGTGAGCTGCTCGGTTCTACTTGGGGTTAACTTACATCTCTTTTTTGCCACTGCTGCCACAATCCACTGCTGTCTGGACACTAGTAAGAGGCACAAGAAAGAGTGTGTTATCCTCGTGCTGCCAGGAGCTTGGGAACATGGTTATTGACATTAGACAGACATGGGTGTCAATCCCACTTCCAACCTTTGCCCCTGTGTGATCTCAGGGAAGTCACTTGCCTTCCCTGAGCTTCCTTTCTTCCTTCTTAAAATGTGGCAAATAATGGGGCACTGCTGTGGAGCACAGTAAGTGAGATAACCCTTGTAAAGATCTCAGCATGGTTCCTGGCAAATAGATAGTGCTAATTAAGTGGTAGCAACCATTACCGCTACTCTTGTTTTAGTACAACTAGTACTGCTATTATTAATAGCATTGTTATTGCTAACAAGCAAGGCATTTGCTGTATGTTCTTCGTGAGTGCTAGCAAATCAGACATGGAGCAGGGCAGCTTCTCGGGGCATTGTGGGCAACTCCAATACTAATTACGATGGTAGCTATTCTTTAGAGCATCCCTCCATTCAACAAATATGCTACCCACACAATCTCATCTACTTCCCCCATGCGTCTCCATTTTAGAGATTAGGAACCTGACACACTTGTCTAAGTCACACAGCTTTTGATCCCAGGCCTGTTAAGCTCAAGCTCCTAACCAGCGTGCAATCGTTCAGTGGGTGGATGCAGACAGCCAAACCGCAAACCTCAGACACCTAGGACATCATTTTAATCTGGATCGTCACACTGGGGCTTCTCAGTATTCTCTGCTGTAATCTGGACAATTCCTCTTTTAGAAGATCTAGCTGTTTCCTCTATGAGATGCACCTGCTGCTCCTTGGCTCCCACCCTCAAGAGCCTGTCACCCTGGGGGTTTCTGTTTACCTGCATTTGTTCCCACCAGGCAGTGACCAACACCCCTTCTGGACCAAGAACAAGTGTTATTCATCCTTCAGCCCCAAAGCTCAGCCAGACCAGAAGTTCTCAGACAATCCTTGGTGAATCCAACAGCAGAAAAGTCAGTAAACAACAGCTATGGGCCAATTCTAGCCTCCCATCTACTTTTATAAATAGAGATTTTTGTCTGTGATTGTTTTCGCACCATAATAGTAGTGCAACAAAGACAATATGGCAGCAAAAGGCTAAATATTTACTATCTGGTCCTTCGAAGAAAAGGACTCTACAACGGAACAAAAGCAGCTTTTGTGAATGGCCTTGTGGGAGGCAGAATAATGGCCCCCAAAGATGTTCACATTCTAATCCCCAAAATAAGGGAATATGTTTCCGTACAGGGAAAAAGTTTTATTGGAACACAGTCACCTATTCACTTACATTTTGAGTACTTTCTCACCTCTTTTGACTAAACACCAATCTTTACTTGAATCCAGCACTCAGGAAAGTCTTTACTGCCCAATAGCTAATCAAAGCACACGCTGGTGTTAGTTCTTGTTCACTATTTACCCTGGCTGACTCCATGAGTATTAGCCCCATGGGTGGACTCGGCATTCAGATTCACCCTCTTCCAAAGGGCTCTTCCCCAGTACTAGAGACCCATTCACTTCATGATGTCTAATCATGGTGAGCATCTTCTCATCTCCTTACTCTTCTGCATGCTCCTGCTCTCTGACCCACTCTGTCCGTACAGGGGGCTGGTCTGTATGGACAACATCAATGGGTTCCCTATCCCATCAATGGGTTCCCTATCCCATCAACGGCTTCCCTATCCCATCAATGGCTTCCCTATCCCATCAATGAGTTCCCTATCCCATCAATGAGTTCCCTATCCCATCAATGGGTTCCCTATCCCATCAATGGCTTCCCTATCCCATCAATGGCTTCCCTATCCCATCAATGG